TGTGTCCATTTTTTTTTTATCATTTCTTCCTGATCTTTTTTTAAACAGTATCTCTTAATTATAGTTTGATTTTCTCCTGTGATTCTGTGCTTTCTTTTAGTTCTTTTTTTTTTTTGACTTGTGATTTTCTTACCATTGCTGATTCTTAATATTTTTGAATGTATCATTTATCTATTTGAGGACATCTCAGGATATTTTGTGTGGCTCCTTTTCCCACCTTCTAATGCTTCAAGTACTTTAGATGATTCAGTTGATGCTTTAGTAATTTTAAAATTTTGCAACAAAAATTTGAAGCTTTTTTTGTAGCTGTATTCCCCCCTCATAACCTGAAGTGCTTTAAAAGTCAAAAGAGGATTTTATATTTGGATCTGGAAGTAACTGGGAGCCACTGCAGATTATTGCATGAGGGGAGGGAGTTTGACATACTTAGACCAATACTTTAAGAAAATTACTTTGGAGGGGCGGAGCCAAGATGGTGGAGGGAAAGCAGTGACTTGCTTGAGTTCTCCCCCAAACCCCTCCAAAATCCTGTAAAAAATGACTTTAAACAAATTCTAAAGCAGCAGAACCCACAAAAAGACAGAGTGAAACAAATTTCCAGCCCAAGACAACCTGGATGGTTGATCAGAAAGGTATATCGCTCTGGGTTGGTAGAGGAGTGCAGTTTGGTGTGGTAGTGCAGGCCTCAGCGACCCGGGAGCAGGCCTCAGAGGACTAAATCGCAGGCAGCTGTGGCGGTTTCCAGACTTCACAACCCACCAATGCCAAAGACAACTTAGAAGGTCAGTGGGATAAGTCTGTGACTGCTGTGAGAGAGGAGCTAGGTCTCAGTCGCAAGTTCCGAGCACAGCCTCTGGGGCAGCAGCGCCCTCCTGAGCTCCCAGCCCACAGACTGAGGGGGAATTGAGTGGCTGATCAGAAGGGGATTACAGGGATCTCTTTGTCAGTGCTGAGGTAGGAACCACTTGCTTTGCGGTGTTGGATCTGGGTCATAGTTCTGAGGGGCAATCCTGGGGCTAGGAGGAGCGTTGGTGTGGTGGAGCTTGTTGTGGTGCTGGAGAGGAAACACCTTGCCCCTTATCATACCACCTTGGAAAAACTGAAAATTTACAGGTCCCTAGAAGTACCTTTGAAAACAGCTGTACAAACCCCCAAAGCTTGGGACAGTACATTCGCCACATTGAAAGCAGATTCTTAACAAAGAGTTTAAAACTCAAGTAACTGGCCAGGATCATGAGTAAGCAGCTCAAAAAGAGTCAGCCTATATTATCTTGCTTTGGTGACAAAGAAGATCAAAACATACAACCAGAAGAAGACAACAAAGTCAAAGTTCCTACATCCAAAGCCTCCAAGAAAAATATGAATCAGTCCCAGGCCTTGGAAGAGCTCAAAAAGGATTTTGAGAAGCAAGTAAGAGAAGTAGAGGAAAAACTGGGAAGAGAAATGAGAGTCATGCAAGAAAATAATGAAAAACAAGTCAACAGCTTGCTGAAGGAGACCCAAAAAAACACTGAAGAAAATAACACCTTAAAAAATCACCTAACCCAAATGGCAAAAGAGGTCCAAAAAGCCAATGAGGAGAAGAATGCCCTAAAAAGCAAAATTGGCCAAATGGAAAATACTTCCTTAAAAATTAGAATAGAGCAATTGGAAGCTAGTGACTTGATGAGAAATCAAGACATTGTAAAGCAAATCCAAAAGAATGAAAAATTAGAAAACAATGTGAAATATCTCATTGGGAAAACATTTGACCTGGAAAATAGATCCAGGAGAGAGAATTTAAAAATTATTGGACTATCTGAAAACCGTGATCAGAAAAAGAGCCTAGACATCATCTTTCAAGAAATGATCAAGGAAAACTGCCCTGATATTTTAGAACCAGAGGGCAAGACAGAAATTGAAAGAATCTACCAATCTCCTCCTGAAAGAGATCCCCAAAGGAAAACTCCTAGGAATATTGTAGCCAAATTCCAGAGTTCCCAGGTCAAGGAAAAAATATTACAAGCAGCCAGAAAGAAACAATTCAAGTATTGTGGAAACACAATCAGGATAACACAAGATTTAGCAGCTTCTACATTAAGGGACCACAGGGGATGGAATATAATATTCCAGAAGGCAAAGGAGATAGGATTACAACCAAGAATCACCTACCCAGCAAAACTGAGTATAATCCTCCAGGTGAAAAAATGGTCATTCAGTGAAATAGAGGACTTTCAAGCATTCTTGATGACAAGACCAGAGTTGAATAGAAAATTTGGCTTTCCAATACAAGACTCAAGTGGAACATGAAGAGGTAAACAGGAAAGAGAAATCGTAAGAGACTTATTAAGGTTGAACTGTTTACATTCCTGCATGGAAAGATGATATTTGTAACTCATGGGACCTTTGTCAGTATTAGGGTAGTTGGAGGGAAAAAATTATATGTATGTATAGATATAGATATAGATAGATAGATAGATAGATAGATGACACAGGGTGAGTTGAAGATGAAGAGGTCATATCTGGAGAATAAAATTAAGGAGTGAGAGAGGATTATACTAGGAGAAGGAGAAAGGGAGAGGTAGAACAGGGTAAATTATCTCACAGAAAGCAGAGAAGAAAAGGCTCTTACAGTGGAGGGGAAACAGGGGGAGGTGAGAGGGAATGAGTGAATCTTATTCTCATAGGATTTGACTTAAGGAGGGAATAACATACACATTCAGTTGGATATGGAAATCTGTCTTACCCTACAGGAAAATAGGGGGGGAAGGGGAAAAGAGAGTAGGGGGATGATAGAGAGGAAAGCAGATTGGGAAAGGGGGTAATCAGAAGCAAATACTTCTGAGGAGGGACAGAGTCAAAAGAAAGAATAGAATAATTGGGGGGGCAGGATAGGATTAAGAAATAGAGTTAGTTTTTCATAGTATGTCTACTATGGAAGTGTTTTGCATAAGTGTACATGTATAACCTATATTGAGTTGCTTGCCTTTTCAATGAGAGTGGGTAGGGAGGGAGGAAGGGAGAAAATTTGGAACCCAAAGTTTTAAAAACACATGTTTAAAAAAAATGTTTTCACATACAACTGGGAAATAAATACAGGAAATGAGATACAGAAATCTATCCTGCCCTACAGGAAAATAGAAGGGGAAGGGGATAAGAGAAGAGGGGGAGATAGCAGGGAAAGCAGACTGGGGGAAGGGGTATTCAGAATGCATACCATCTTGGGGTGGGAGGGGTGAGATGGGTTGAAAATTTGGAACTCAAAATCTTATGGAAGTAAATGTTGAAAACTAAAAATAAATAAATTTAGTAATAAAAAAATAAACTACTACCTATAATTAAAAAAAATCAATAGGTCAGATTAGATTTGTCAATTTTAATTACATAATTGTTTTTCCCATTTTAATTTTTTTTTATTAATTTTGATCTTTAGCAAGTCCATGGTATGACTGCATGCAAATGATTTAGTAATTATCCCCACAAATGTAATGTCATTTTCTGTCAGCTACAATATAATCAATTTCATTTTTGTGATGTTAGTGTTCAGGGTGGAGATATTAAAGTTACAGAGATGATGAAGAACAGGATCAGTGTTTGTGAAGGAGAGGGAAAGGTGGAATGAAAATAGATTATGATCAGATACAGAGTTCATGAACATGAAAGTAGAACACTTGTAGGTGATGGCAAAACCAAGAATATGACCATGTCTCCATGGTCATGACCATAGTTGAGGTAGGGTGAGGAACTAGGTCATAGGAAATGATCAAGTTGGAGGACTGGGAAATGAGGGTGTTAGATGCTGAAGTTCTCTAGTGTGATGGTAGGAGCTGAGATAAGGAAGACTGTGAATCAGGCACTGAATCATTGAGAAAGGAAGGAGAATGTCTGTGAGGTTAGTAGATAACAGCTATCAGCATCTTAATTGGGTGATGACTATGGATTGAATGAACCTCAGAGGAGAAGTTCCTGAGTGGTGATGGTATAGGGAAAGTCTGGAAGTGGTAGTAAGGAACAAGGAATATACAGCTCCCTCTCTTCCACAACTAGGAGTTTCAGGGATATGGCTGAAAGCAGAACCAATGCTGGAAAGGGCAGCCAGTGAAGTTGTGTCATTGGGAGGGAACCAGGTCTCAGTAAATGCAAGAAGATGGAAAGAGTGAGAAAGGAAAAGGCTTAAGATGAAAGCATATTTGTTAGCTTTGGAGAAAACATTCCAGAGAGCACAGTGTAAGGGAAGGATTGCTTTAAAGTAGGATGCTGAGGTGGATTCAGTTTAGGGGGATGGAAATAATGAAGCAAACAGTGTGGTGATAGAGAATGGGATTTGTACAACAACAACTATGGGTTAAGAATCTCTGGGGTGAATAGGGTATGACAGTAGGGATATGCTAATCTTTGAAGAATGTAAATGAAGTCAGCTCTGAGAGATCTAAGAATCAATGGCAACACCATATGATCAAGATATGCATCATTACATACACAAACAAAATATCAATGTAGAAACTGACATGGTATCAGACACAAAAACCCTATTAGGTGGTTTTGGGATCATAGATCATGTGATCAGTGGTTAGAGCTAGAAGAGATCTGAGAAACCATCTTGTCCAACTCTTTTTCATTTTTCAAATGAAGAAACTGATCTATGAAGGTTAAGTGACTTGTCCAAGGCCACACAGATGAACATCAGAGTCAGGATGTGAATCCAAGTCTTCTGATTCCAGAGTCACTGGATTTTCATCAGTGACATGCTTCTTCTCTTAACTGTTTTCTGGAAATATTGTAGAGGAGGTCCATTTGAGTGTTTGTTAGGAAGTATCCACTGTGTCAAAATCAAAATGCATCAATTTTTATTGAATAGATCAACCTAGAAGCAGCCACCCCTACTTTTCTAAGTATAGATTAGAAAGAATACAAACCCTTTAACACTTCTAAAAGAAATGAACCAACTGATAGAAACTAGTTGATTTTTTAAATGGTCATTTTCCCAATGATGGGAAACCACTGACACCAGAGAAACTTACCCTCAGCCATAGGGTGGCCAAGGAACTTGTCTCCCTCCTCCTCAATGGAACGTTCTCCTTCTTCATATTCTTCCTGTTCCTCATCTGCTTTTTCATTTTCTAACCGATAGACAATAATAGATTCTGGCCGAGATTCCTTCTTTTTCTTTTTCCTTCGGCCCATTGTGCCTTCACCATCAAAGGCCAGGGCAGCAGCCATTGCCTTCCTGAGGGAGCCATGATGAGGACTTGGTGGCTGACTCTTCTCCTCCATAGGCATGGGTTCCTCCATCATAGTGCTGATCCAAACTAACTCTTGAGAAGTGTTTGTCCTAAACGTAAGTTTGCAATTCACATGTCACACAGCCTCTGCTTGGGTAGTGTTGAGCAACAGACATCCCATGCCTATATTCAACCTGAAGGAGAAAAAAAAAACACCAAATCTATCAATGAGGGAACAAATTGGGCTTAATACATGAAAGCAAAAAACCCCAGAAAGTTCAGTTTCTTCAAGTCCTAATCCAAGATTTGATGTGCCTTGGCACTGTCATCAAGGGAAAGGCACAATCTATTTCTGGATCTTAGTCTACTGGAAATTAATGTGTAATATGTAGTGCTTGATCATAGAATTACAAGGTATCTCAGGGCTCATCTTGTTTACCTGCTACCCAGATTAAATTTCTTTATAATTTCCCTGTCAGGGAAACATCCAGCCACCACTTGCATACCATGAGTGATTGGGAACTCTTTACCCTGAGGCAGCCTATTCTGATTTTGGATAGCTCAAATTATTAAGAAGTTTTCTTTAATGTTGAGCTGAAATTTCTTTTTTTTTTTTTTTTGTAATTTCTAGCTAGTTCTGCTTTTAGGGTCCAAGAAGAACTAGTTTGCTTCCTAAGAACACTTTAAATATTTGAATGAATGAAAAGCAATTCTTAAACACTCATGGTATAGGCACTGTGTTAAGTACTGGTTATACAAAAAAGAGATGGTGCCTATTCTTAAAGAGCTTATATTCTAAGAGAAGACAACACATATGTGGGAGTGGTACCTAGGAAAAGGTATTTTGGTTTGGGAGGATAGAAGGAAGTGAGTGGAAATATAGGGCAGTTAACTAAAATGACATTTCTAGAAGCAAATCATAGAGTTGGTTAGATTACTGGCCCCAGAGCAAGAGATGAAAAAAATTGAAGGTGGAAGTGGCTGGATGTGGCAGCATGGCAGGAAAATAACAGGGTCAAATGTCCTCCTCAAACTTCTTTGTGAACACTCATGTCCTTATTTTGTGTGCTAATTAATCCATATTTAGGTGGTTAATTGTTATATGCCATAATATCCTCACTTAAGACTTTTTTTTTATTGTGGTGGGAATATATGGATGATTGCTTTGGTGGAAGGAAGGGATGACTACTCTGAAATCTTACTGATATATTTCTATGAAAAGGAGCCTTACACATCAGTACCAGTCAAGCTTGTTATGAAAAGTTTCCAGATCTGTTGGCTCAAAAAGGAAAATCTGATATTTGCATAACATTTTGCAAATAACTGGTATCTATGGATGCACAACACTCACAGCATCACAGAATCTCAGAGTCTTGTGGTCTAAGTTGTATCTGAAAAAGAATCACCTCTACAATAGAACCAACAAGTGATCAACCAGACTTTGTTTATAGACTTTCAGGGATTAGGAGCCCATTAGCTCTTGGGCAGACCATTCTACTATAAGGAAGGGACTTTTCCTCTCCATCTTACTTGATATGTTTAGCCATCTTTTAGTCTCAGCTGACTCTTCATGACTCCATTTGGGGTTTTCTTGGCAAAGATACTGGAGTGATTTGCCATTTCCTTCTCCAGTTCATTTTACAGATGAGGAAACTAAGGTAAATTGGATTAAATGACTTGCCCAGGGTCACACAGCTAGTAAGTGTCTGAGATTGAATTTGAACTCAGAAAGATGAGTCTTTCTGACTCAAGGCTCAGTACTCTATCCACTTCACCACCTAGCTGCCTTACCTGTGCTTTATGTTTCCTTTATCTTGTATTAACCTCTTTGATTGGGTTGGGAAGAGAACAACACAACTGGCAGAACAAACAAGCTAGTCATATTTCTAAGATGAATATCAGCAGTGGGAGTTCAAGAGTTGATTGCAGGCATTTTATAGAGATTGCTGTACCAGAGGTCAACAAAGCAGGAGACTTTGTTTGCTCCCTTCTCCTACCCAACAATGACATTGGAACTGGCAGAAGACAATGCCTACAGCAAGAAACAAAGACCCATCTGTGGACACAACAAATGGATAGTCACTCAAAGGGGGAAACAGCTTCAGGAAGCATGACCCCCTACAGCAGAGAAGAGTGATGGCTATTGCCTCAAGAAAGAAGCAGACCCTAGGAATCTTGCTGTGCAGCATCACTAGCAGTGACCCTGCACTAAAACAAGCTACTTGAAGACTCTACAAAAAAAAATAAAGGACTTCCATACCATGTCAGGAGTTATGAGTTAATCTTTTGCCACATAAATATCCTACATATGTGCTCCACTACCATAGTACTTTAAGTTTATGTCGACTCTTCCCATTAGTGCTATGTGGATTTGTGGGAGGGTGAGCCCTCAGTTTTTTAGGGGAGTGCTTTGTACCAATTGTTTTTGCTATCATCATAGTAAATGCCTTAGCTAAAAGCTAATTAAATTACTGGCTGATTGTTAATGGGAAGCACACTGCTGGGGGCTCTTAAACTTTTTTCTTTCTATGCTTTTTTCCTTTGTGGTTTTATAGAGTTTTAACACTCATATCACTCATACAATATGTGTAGTTTTACATTGTCAGTGTATATATTATGATTTATTGATTTATATATTATTATGATATAAATTATTACTAATATAATATATGTTATATTAATATATAGTATGTTATTGATTTATTCATTCTATACAACTCTATATATATGTGTATATATATATATGTATAATTTCCCCCATATTTCTTTATATTCTTCATATTTGTGGTATGCATGTGTAGAATTGGGGGGGGGACCAGAACTATAACTTTTTTGGCATAGGAAACTTTTTGTGATATAATTCCCTTTATCAGCACAGATCCACACACATTCTGCATCTCAAAGCCTTAGAGAGTCGTCTGAAGTACTGAAAAAGTAAGAGACTGACCCAGGGTCACACAGACAATATGTGTCAGTGGCAGGTCTTGAACCCAGTCTTCCTTGCTTCAGGGAAGTTCCTTGTTCCCCATCCATTATGCCATGATACTTACCATGCTGTAATTTCTTACAGTACAAAATTTTTCATTATTTTAATATACTATAACTTTTAATCATTCTTTAATCACTGAAAAAATGGATGATTTCCTTTTTTTTTCTTTTTGCTACTCCAAATCACATTGCTATGAATATTTTATAGAGATAAGGGTTTTTTTTTCTGTAGTTTCTATAATATTTTTAGTCTAGTCCTAGTAAAATGAATTTTTATTTATTTTTTTAAAATTCTGAACTTAACAAATAAAATGAGCATTTACCTATAAATGGAACAGAAAAACTTGTAGTTATGCCTTAAATAATCATCCTTGTGTTCTTAGCTATCAAGAAAACAAAGGGACAAAATAATTTTTGAAAGTCAGTAAGTCCAGAACCCATGGGGACAATAACTCCGAGCCAGGTATTACAGACTTAGCATTGGCTACTGTCCTTTCCAAACCACAGGCACTTTCCCTGCTTTGTATTCTGGCCCCCTCTTCTTTCTCTATTGCTTCCCAGGGCAGCCTGCCTACCCAAGAAAATCTGTTGTTAGTAGGACTCCCATATCACATCCTGGACAGTTTCTTATATCTCATTTTCAATATTTCTCAAATCTAAAGGGTTGAGATTTTTAGGTAGGTCAGAGTGGGTTTTAGTGGTGATGATAGGAAGTTATTGAATTTAAGAAAGAAGTCAGAATAGCAAGAACTTTATTTTCTTTTTCAGGGAGGTTGTGGGTAGCTTTTGGGGTGTAGGAAAACCAGAGAGCTCTCAAGAAAGCAGGGACAGAATATCATTGGATGATAATTCAAATAAAGTCCAGGGTAGGGAAGGGAAGGGAGGAAAATGGGAGGGGGAGAAGAGAGGCCTCAATGTGAATGCTCTAACAGAACAGAGACATAGCCTTTGCTATCGTTAGAATCATAGTGTAGAACCCTTTGTGAGTTTACTTTGAAAACTCCCACTTGTTTCATCAGATTGGGTCTCCAGAGGTCAGCTGACTACCCTCCTTAGAAGTTCAATTTAGGATTTCCTAGTACTACTGCTCATGAGTCCCCATAGGCATGCTTCCCATTTTAATTAGCTAGTAGATATAATTAATTTTTAGTGCAGAATATTTACTAAGGTGGCATAGTAAAAAAAACAGTTGATATAAAATACTGCCCCCCCCCCCAGTTCTGGGACACATTCTCCCAGAAGTACACATAGGTCAATGGGAAAAAGTAGGTTCAAATAAAGTACTGTTGTGGTGAGGCACATATATCATACACATTTGTGGGGGGGGGGGTGGAAGGAATTCATAGCTCCTGGTCACTCTAATAAGTCTTTTCTTGAGTTCAAAGCTGACATTCCTTTTTGATGCAAGAGGTCATACTTCTTGAAGCAGCACCATTCCTTAACTGGTAATCTTAACATATATATATATATATATATATCTGTGTCCATTTTTCTCCTCATTTTGTCTCTCTGAATGAATGCATTCCTCCTTCTTTAGATACTCTACTATCTTCCTCAGTGACCCCTCCTTCTTCTTACTCTTAAATTTAGCCAGTGTTCTCCAAAGTTCTATCCTTAACCCTTTCCTCAGCACTCTGGAGATAATTTCCCCATTTGAAAGATGGGAAAGACCCGTAGGATCATAGATCTGGGACTGGAAGGGACCTTAAAGAGCACTTAGCCCAACTAATTTAATAAAGAAAATACTCAGGGAAAGACTGATCTCAAGTGATTCCCATGTCAAAATTGTTCTAGAATGGCCAGATGTTGTGAGTGGAACCTGAGGAAAACTGTAGGCTATAATACATTTTTTCTCAGGCTCATGATTCACACATGACAGTTCTTTTACTTGTGTTAGCACTCTAAGTTCTCAAAAGTGCCTGAGAATTTGTTCTTCTGTGAAAAATGAAACCTCTCTAAAAATCAAGGATAGTAATTATAGTGACTCTTACTTGAGAAGAGGAAGAAAATAGACCTAACCTTCCAGTCTCAGAAGGGCTGTCATGCCAAAAAGGATAACTAGCCACTTTTCTTCTTTATGTCTAAGGAGGGAAGAACAAGAGGGCTTTTGATTGCATATAAAGGAAAATCTTCCTGACGGTGAGGGTACTTAGTCTTGAAAAGGTATAACTGAGGGAAACTGTAGCACTGGCATCCATTGAGAGGG